TGATAAGGAAGCACAGTGGAGGAGTGTGATTCCCACCAGAGACACCTTTCACTTCCAACATTTCTTCAGAGATCAGTTATACCTGCTTGCAGAGAACGAATCCTGTTTCAAAGTACAGGAGGAAATACTGTCATAAAGACAGCAGGAGATAATGGCATGTGATTGCTCCCAGGACACACTTTCAAGAGTGAAAGTCATAGATCCAGAATCCCCTCACATGATGGCCTTGTGACTAGCCTGGGCTTTGCTAATCTGAGCTTAATTTGCAGGAAGAATTTCATTATTTAATTTACAGTGACATTTGTCATCCCCTAACCCTAGCACATACCAGTTTTGTTTTGTGTATGGCACAAATCCAGGGCCTTAGACAAAATCCAACTTGATCTCAAATATAGTATTTCAATGATGTTTGCTATATTATAATGAGCCACTTTGTTTTAGAAGATGTGTGAGATAGGAGTATATATACAAGTACATTGTAAGTATTCAATAAATACTCACTAGTTTTATTATCATTGTAGTTACTATTTATTATTTTCTTCTACATTCCCTCTATTTTGCTAAGCACTTTATATAATAACACTACCTAGAATGAATTAATAGATTATATGGAATAATGTCCATTCAAATTCTTTAATTTGTATTCAACTCCTTAGCATTTGCAGTGACAAAAGGAGGTAGGTATTATTATTATTAGGCAGGTACCATTATTATTCTGTAGGTATTATTATTATTACTCCCATCTTTAAGATGAGAAACTGAAGCACAGGAGTCTAAATAACTTGCCCAATGTCACACAACTTGTAAATGGCAAAAAAAGGCTTTGCACCCAGAGCCTTTTCTTAAACAGTAGGCTGCTCTAGAGGGCCCTTAGGCTTACCTTAAACCTAATAAAAAACCTTCGGAGAGAGATATGATGACCCTGATTTTACTAAGTGTTTTGACTCAAGTTACCAGAATCAAAACTCGGCTTTCAATACATCCTTAAACACTTTCTCTCCGCTCTGCAAGCAGGCCAGGGCTCAGACTGCACAGCACCCAGCCCCAGCTGGTGCGAGGCTCCCGAGTGCAGCAGGGCAGGAGGCGGGCAGTGCGGCCTGGAGCCAGAGGGCCGTGCGTAACCGAGAATAGGACGGCGGCGGCACCCGTCAGGGGCCCCTGTGTGCAGACCGTGTTCCCTGACTTGGGGAGGCGGCCCGGGTCACGCGGCGTGCGGCCAGTGCCTCTGGGCGCGCCTGTGTCCGCTGGCGTGGCCAGGTGCGGCGGGCGCCGTGCTGCGCCCTGCTTCACGCCTCTGTGGCATGCGACGGCCCCCCACTCCTTCCTTCCTGAAACACTGTCCTTCCGGGCCTCGGGGCACCCTAGGCCCCTCGCGCCTTTCCTGGCCATTTGGCCCCGCCGCCGCAGCTCCTGCGCCGCTTCCGCCTTCGCTTCCTAGCCTCCGCGTGCTGGAGTCCTTGAACTTCCTCTTACACATTCTGTGCCGTGGCTTTACATGCCAGCTAAACGTTGACAGCGCTCAGAGTCATGCCGGCAGCCTCACTCTTCCCTGGACGGGAGGCACGCCTAAGTCATCTGAGCGACATCTTTGTGCGGATGATTAATGGCCGTCTCACACTTCACGCAGCCGTGATGGGGCTCTGGGTGTCCCCATGTGTTAGGTACCTCTTCGTGCGTAATAGGGAATCCCGGGCTACCACCATCTGAAGGCTTGGCTGGGGCAGGGGATCCCTTCCGAGATGACACCCTCGGCTGTTGGCGGAAGGCTTCTGTTTCCAGCTGGCTCTTGGCAGGAAGACCTCGCCATAGACTTTTGAGTGTCCCCACAAGACGGCAGCCAGAGAAAGTCAGAGCAACAGGAGAGGATGTGGAGAAGACTTGATGTCCACACTGACTCAGAGGGCACTTGCTATCGCTGCCACCATACTCTTTTCCCCACACAAGTCCACCAGATACCGCGGAGGAGAAGACTGCACATTCCTGATTTTAGGGAAGCAGGGGTCCCTGGGAGCCGTCTTGGAGGCTGGTTCACCGCCCACAATCCTGCTTCTTCCCTTGCGCTCCTTGTATTACTAAGTGGCCTGTTCCTCAAGCCAAAATCCCGGGAACTACCTCTGATTCTCCTGCTTCCTATTCTAATCCCATCCGTCAGCAAATCCTGTCAGCTCTGTCTTTAGACTTGACCCTGGATCCCACATTCCTCATGCCATGTAGAGAGCCCGCCCTAGTCTGTGCCCACACGGACTGCTGTAAGCTCACGGGCATCCCTGCCACCAGAGCTGCTCCTTCAGCGGCGAGAGAGTCAGGACCCCACCACGCCCCCGTGAGTAGCCACCTCCGGCGTCCTTGCAGGGGGTCCGCACGATCTGCCTGCGCGCTGCTTCTGCGCCCGCCTTCCCCGGGCGCCTGCTCCTCAAGCCTGTGTGTGTTCAGAGCTCTGCACGTGCTGTGCCCCTGCCTGGGCTGCCCGCCTCCCCCACAGTCCAGGGCTCGCTCCCTCACTTCAGCCAGGCTTCTGCTCCTGCGGCACCTCTCAGAAAGCCTTCCTTGGCCAGCCCATCGAAGACGGCATCTTGTTACTCTCAACTCCCTTCCGGGGCTTTATTTTTCATATCACCCATTGCTACTAGACCATGTACTGCATAGTTATTGGTTTTCTTGTCTATCTTCCATCTTCTTCTCTAGTAAACTCCAGGAAGACAGAAATACCATCCATTGCGATTATTGCTGGACCTTCCCACCGAACCTGAGATGGTGCCTAGCAGCTAATAGTTGCTCAAATATTAATTTGTGTGCTAAATAAATGGGGCTTTCCTGGTGGCTCAGACAGTAAGAATCTACCTGCAATGTGGGAGACCTGGGTTTGATCCCTGGGTTGGGAAGATCCCCTGGAGGAGGGCATGGCAACCCACTCCAGTGTTCTAGTCTGGAGAATCCAATGGACAGAGGAGCTTGACGGGCTACAGTCCTTGGGGTCACAAAGAGTTGGACATGACTGAGCGATTAAGCACAGCACTAAATGAATGAATGAATGGACCACACAGGACCAGTGAATTCATATAGAACAGTGCAACCCTGTAGAATATTCTGCAATGGTGGAAATATTCTCTTATCTGTGCTGTTTGATATGGAAACTCATTAAATACCTAACATATGACTAATGTGAATGAAGAATGAAATTTTTAACTTTGGTTTCTATTGATTTTAATTAGATAGCCACAGGTAGCCAATAACCATCATTTAGAGCAAATCTAGATCCTCGGGGTAGATGAGGTTGAGCATGAAGATGTCATTCCATATACATCCTAGTAGAGTAGTAGAGACTTCCTGGGATGCTGTGTTAAGAAAGAGGCTGAGGTCCCATCAACAAATCTTTTTCAAGCACCTTCTATTTACCCAACACTGTTATTATCAGGATCTTGCACAAAGGAGTGCATTGATCTACTAACACTTCCTACTTTGGGCAAGGAGGTGAGGGTAGTGTGCTGTGGCATATTCACCATCCTTGACCTCAGTCATTCCAGGGGTGGCCAGAGCTCCTTCTTGGTCTTTTCCAGATTGTGATTGCTGAAGCCTACCTCTACTGTCTTAGAAGCCCCTCACTGGCTTCCCCCACCCCTGCCCTATCTGTCCTCCCCATCCACTCCACTCTTCACAGTTAGAGTAGAATGTTCTTGGCTGTAATCCTTCTGAAAGCTGAGTAGATTTCTCTTTCACACACACAGCCCTGAAAATATGTTTTCTCTCAATACATTTGTACTGCTAGTGCCTCAGACACATCCCTTCACCAGTGACTGTTTCTATCTGCCAGCACTGCTTTCCTTTGTCTAAAATAGTAGTCCTTAATCAAGGGTTATTTTGTCCATATCCTGGGAACATTTGACAACATCTTACGAAAATTTTGTTGGCCATAAATGGGAGAAGAAGCTGCTACAGCATCTAGTGGGTAGAATCCAGGGAAGCTGCTAAATATCCTTCAATATGCAGGACAGCCGTCCACATCAAAGAATTATCTGGCCCAGAACATCATGGGTAACAAGGCTAAAAAATCCTGGTCTTAGACCTTCCCCTGACTGTCAGAGCCTGCTCAGTTCAGGACACGGAAAGCCAAAAGTGCTGGGGAATTCATATCCCAAGGAGCTGATGGTAAGCAGATTTGGTACCTGAATACCTTAACTCTCTGCTCTGAGATGGGACAGTTTTAAAGTGCGTGTCCTACATAGTCTTCCAGGGTTCAGACTTGCCTAGTGGGATTAGGTTCCAGTTACATCAATGGTATCTTGCTGTGTATGTTAGAGTTCACCAGAGACACAGAACCAACAGTGTATGCATGTGTGTGCATGCATGTGTACAGAGAGAGGGAGAGATTTTAAGGAACTGACTCATGCAATTGTGGGGGCTAGAAATTCCAGCAAGAATTGATAGAGATTTGAGCCCAAGGACAGTGTAGTTGCAAAAATCCTTCCTCTTTGGGTAAACTCAATCTTTTCTCTTAAAACCTTCAACTGATTTGATATGGCCCACCCACATTTTGGAGGGTAATCTGTTCTACTCAAAGTCTACTGATTTAAATGTTAATCACATCTGAAAATTGCCTCCACAGTGATATCTAGACTGGTGTTTGAGCAAGCAACGGGGCTCCATGTGTAGCCAAGTTGACACCTAAAACTAACAACCATGCTTTATGATTCACCCTTTATTGACTTTTTCCCCATTCCTGTCCCACTTCATAAGTCCAGGGATCACGTCCTACTACTTGCATCCTAATGCAGGTCTCAGAGTCTGCTTCTGGGGATTTTAATAGGGAAGGAGGAAGAAAGAGGCTGGATGGGGAAGTTGGAGGGCAGATAAGGGTGGGAGCAGACATCCAGGACTTTGCGAGGTAAGCCTTCCCCCAAGCAGGCTGTGAGAAGTGGTGCTCATCATTTGGTCCAGCGGTGTGCTGATTGTGACATTCAGGTAGAGCCTGTAAGTTTCTCCATCTGTGTCTGTCTTTCCAGGTGGACTATGATCGAGCACAGATGGTCCTCAGCCCACCGCTGTCAGGGTCTGACACCTACCCCAGGGGTCCTAGCAAACTACCTCAGAGTCAGAGCAAAGCAGGCTATTCCTCAAGCAGCCACCAGTACCCATCCGGGTACCACAAAGCCACCCTGTACCACCACCCATCCCTGCAGACCAGCTCACAGTACATCTCCACAGCTTCTTACCTGAGCTCTCTCAGCATCTCATCTAGCACCTACCCCCCACCCAGCTGGGGCTCCTCCTCAGACCAGCAACCCTCCAGGGTGTCCCATGAACAGTTCCGGGCTGCCTTGCAGCTGGTGGTCAGCCCAGGAGACCCCAGGGAATACTTGGACAACTTTATCAAAATTGGGGAGGGGTCGACCGGCATTGTGTGCATCGCCACGGAGAAACACACTGGAAAACAAGTCGCAGTGAAGAAAATGGACCTCCGGAAGCAACAGAGGCGAGAGCTGCTTTTCAATGAGGTAGATGGGGTGTTTGGATCAATCTTTCTGTTCTCTGCAACATTTCTTTCCCATTTTAGAAATAGTGCATGTACGTTTTATGACATTAGAGGATGCTGAAAAGGTAAATACAAAAACAGCATCCCTTTTTCTGTGCCTCTGTGGCTGCCTCTTTATGAAGTTCCTCCTGTGGGTCACCCTCTGTGCTAAGCATTGGTCAGGTGACAGAAAGATGTTATCTCCATTTTAGCAGCAAGGACACCTGGACTCAGTTTACGTGACTAACCCCGGTCAGACAGCAGGTTCATACAGCTGTGACCATGCACTCAACTGTGATTTTGAACCTTCTGTGGGGGTTCATGTGAAGCCACCAGAAGCTCCATGCATTCTACCTCCCATAGGTGTACATTTCTTTTACACCCTCCACACCTCACAGAGAGCACCAGGTAAGTGGGGTTCAGCTTCTTTCTGACCCACAGCTCCCAATTTCTGGAATGCCAGAACAGACAGGACAGGTGAACTTAAATAATAACTGTATAATTTATTATTTAATACTGATTCTGAACATGTCACCACAAGCAGCCACAGGACAGCAACTCCTGGATGCTCTCTCTAGCAAGCAGACACAAGCTGACCTTTTTATGCTTAAATCATAATGTTTTTACCTTCAAGACTTATCCTTTGTATTCAGCCCAAACTCTTTTAGACTCAACACAGACCTCCCAAGAAGTTAAATTGGTCTCATGTGGCTCAAACCCTAATGACTGTTCATTTCATTCACTTATGAGACTCAATTACTTTGCGTTGATGACCCTTTGCCAAGTTAACCAACAGCAGAGTATGCACAGTGGGTTTTAAGAGCAACCCATGAGAAATCTGATCACATCCCCCAAAACAGTCAACTAACCTCACTCTTGTGAATGGAGACCCTTCTGTGGTTCTGCCTGTCTTTATTCTTGATTCTTGCCAAGTCTCACTGACCTGCTGTTTTCTCTGACTTTGCTAATGTGATCTCTATTCCTACCAGCGACTCTCAGTGCTGTCCCTGCGTCTGTAATAGACTTCTGAATCTCTCTCTCCCTCCCCATCATTACTTCTCCATCACGAAACCCACAGCCCAGATGTGGTCACAAGAAAACAAAAGGCTTAATTTCACCTTCCCAAGTCAAGTGGTGTCTTTCCATTTTGCCCAGGTTGTGATAATGCGGGATTATCACCATGACAACGTGGTTGACATGTACAACAGCTACCTTGTCAGTGATGAGCTCTGGGTGGTCATGGAATTCCTAGAAGGCGGTGCCTTGACAGACATCGTTACTCATACCAGGTAAGGTTCTTATTATCCAGACAAAAAATTCAAGATGCTTATTATTCTTCCCCAGGGTAAGACTTCAGTAACTACCTCAATGAACTCTTCATAAATTGTAAGCACTTTGAAGGCAGAGGAATGACTGCCCTTTCTTCTGTATTCCCAGATGCCTGTTACAATATCATGTATGTATAGTTCATTCACTTAATTCGCATTCTCCCTGCCCTCTAGGAGTTCACTGATACTCATTGATTTTAAATCAGCAAGCTGCTGAGAATTGAGTTTAAGTGACAAATAATAGAATTTCCCATCCCTATGAAGATATCTAAAGCCGAGTTTCATTCTCCTGAGTTGCTGTGCCATTGCTATATGTTGATACTACCAAGGGTATCTGGGAAGGCAGGGGCAGGTGAAAGAGCAAAGTTTTATGTAGTTTTAACAAGAATAAACTACATAAAAGAGAGAGAGAGAGATCCTTCAATTCTGTTTCAAATCGCCTTGCAAGTAACATTGGTTAATTGCCCCTGTTGCCTCAGCTACTTGCTTCTCTGATAATGCCAGTTGTAGTCATTTCATCAATTGTATATTAATCACTTTTTATGTGCCAGACTCTTTCCTAAATGCTGGCGGTACAAAATAAATAAATTATAACACCTGTGCAGAATTAGAAAGATGTACATGAGTAGCATAGAAGAATACCTGAATACCTTTATTAGAGTCAAGAAATATTTTTGATATACAGCAATGTCCAAGATGGGTTTTGAGAGATGCATAGGAGTTTACTAAGAAGGCAAGTGGGAAGAAAAGGGCATTGAAAGCAAATGAAAGAGTATGTGCTAAGGCAGTGCTTCTCAAATTTTAATATGTGTACAAATTACCCCTGGATCTTATTAAAATGCAGATCCTGATTCAATAGGGAGGAGAGTGATACTTTGCATTCTAAGGAGCCCCCAGGCAATGCTAATGCTATTAGTTCATGGACCATGCTTGGAAAAGCAAGGTTCAAAGGAACACATCTGTAAAACAAAAATCATGTACATTTAGGAAAGTTTAAGTTTGCTTTGCTGGTAGATAAAATGCCAAAAAATTGAAAGGATTATCATGAAGGAGTTGTATCAGATGTCATTGAAATGGCATCCAAATCATAAGTGAATCCAGATGAGCAGCAACAGAGCGGAAGCAAGATAGCAAGAAAGCACTGGGAACCCTTGTGAGGGAACCAAGATACTGCTGTTTCTCCACTATAATGAGGCAGTGTTTCAGTCATGACCCCCTACAGCTCAGAGTCAGTGGTAGACCACCTGAAAACAAAATGATGCTGGGGAAGACACTGAACATTTATCACCAGCATTTCAGCTGGAAGATTCCTGTTAGTATAGCCTGAGGTCACAGCAACCCTGTATGGGTATAGATACAGGTAGATGGTGTGTGTGTGTGCATGTGTGTGCGTGTGTGTGCATATGTGTGCTCGGCCACTCGGGCATGTAGGACTCTGCAGCCCTGTGGACTGCAGTCACCAGGCTGCTCTGTCCGTGGAATTCTCCAGGCCAGAACACTGGAGTGGGTTTCCATGCCCTTCTCCAGGGGATCTTCCCAACCCAGGGATCAAACCCAGGTCTCCCACATCGCAGGCAGATCCTCCACCAGCTGACCCACCAGGGAAGCCCAGGAAGAGAACATGGTCACGCCCACGTCCAAGATGAGGAAACAGAGACCCGAGGAAGTTAAAGGACTTCCTCACGGTCACCTCGGAGCCGTTCCTGGAACTACGGGTCCATTCAGTGTCCTGCTCTGCAGGACCCTGGTGGTTTGTCAGAACCTGGAGAATTACCTGGAGGAGTCCAGGGAAGTGCGTTTGCTCTAATGACCCAAAGACCAGCCACTGGGGTCTCTCCTTCAGTTTATACGTGGCCCCTGTCATCATTAGGGTTAAGCCTTAGGTTCTGGGAGTCAGGTCCCAGAGACTTCCTTTTCCTTCCCTGTAGGTTTTCCAGACATGGCCTGGGGAGCATGGACTGGTTCACTGGAACCCAAGGGAGCTACCTCTCTTGATCATTTCAAAGATGGTCTTAAACCTGACCTAGCTCCTTCAATGTGATTTCCTTTCTAGAATGAATGAAGAGCAGATAGCCACTGTCTGTCTGTCTGTTCTGAGAGCTCTCTCCTACCTTCACAACCAAGGAGTGATCCACAGGGACATAAAGAGTGACTCCATCCTGCTGACAAGCGATGGCCGGGTAAGGTTTTCATGTCTGCTCCCTCCCCAGTTTACTTTGTCACTTCATCTGTCACGGGTATTATCTTCCCAAGAGCACTTTATCATAATTCTGATTTTCCATAAGTCACCTATGACACTTCCCAGAAGGCTTATAGAAAGGAAATCACCATCCTCTGTGTCATCCTGTTAGAAGTATCTGCGAACTGAATTTGAAGGATAATTTTCCACTTTAACAATAAGCATGCGAAGTAATATGGAAAGGTCTTTTATTTTCCTGTCACATGCTTATTTTTTGTTGGTGGGGAAGAAATGACTTTTCTAGGACTGTGTCCACCCTATTCATGTCTGCAGTATCACTAAGAGTCCCTGCAGATGACAAATTCCAGTACTTTGGCGGGGGGGGGGGGGGGTGTGTGTGTGCTAAGTCACTTCAGTCATGTTTGACTCTTGGCGACACTATGGACTATAGCCTGCCAGGCTCCACCATCCATGAGATTCTGCAGGCAAGAAAACTGGAGTGGGTAGCTGTGCCCTCCTCCAGGGGATCTCCCTGACTCAGGATTCGAACCTGTGTCTCTTATGTCTCCTGCACTGGCAGGTGGGTTCTTTACCACTAGTACCACCTGGGAAGCCCTCTGGGAGAGTTTAATAAAGGTATTGGCGGATGTAGATCAGTCAAGAGGAAGTGTCATGAGGACCAGGGCAGTTCTCTAGGTTGGAACACTGATCTTGCTACCCCATGCCTGAAGAGGTAAGGTGCAGAACTCATGACTGGAATCTGGAAGTAGAGATTGTCACAGAGAGGGCTGGCTGGCAGGAGCGCTGAGCTTCACTGGAAGCCAGACCCACAGTGAAGCTGTAGGTTGAGAGCTGGGCCAAAAATAACCCAGCCTCACTCTGCTCCTTCCTTCCAGGCTCCCACAGGAGCCCTGCATTGACTGAGTCCAGCTGGAAGCCATCAGTGGGTCAACACAAGTTGAACTCCCAGGGCTCAAAGAAGGGAGGACCTAGATCTGGAAGGATGAATGGAAGATATCCACCACACTGGTGTATCTCTAGGCTCAGATTTCTGCATTTCCCATCACTGCAACCTACCCAGAGAATTCACTTGAGACTTATCAGCCGCACCAGGGTACAAAACAACACAGAACAACAGCCATGGGAGGAATGAGTTGATGTTCTCAGGAAGGCTTAGTTAGGAGACTTCTGAAGTTTTGCTGTTTAGGCCCTTTCCACGGAGTCACAAAAAGACTTGGACACGACTTAGCAACTAAACAACAACAATCTCCCTGAACTCCCCCCAGATGTAACAGCCCCTGGATGAATGGAGCCAGTGTCCCTTTAATGCACCTGTCTTTTAATGCACCACCCAGCATCCTCACTCACATGGAAAACATTCATGTCACATCATAATTTGCCCAGGAATGATCAGAGGGTAGCCAGAAGCTTCCCAAGCACTTCAGCTTTTCTTCATTTAAAGAAAAAAAACATTGTTGATTTTATTGCAGAAAATCCAGCAAATTCAGAAAAGTATAAAGGATAAAATAAATATCACCCATAATCCCATTTTCCATATTTCCATGTATATATGTGTATTTTATATATGCATGCATACATGTTAAATCACTTCAGTCATGTCCAACTCTGTGCAAGGTCCTAAGAATGAGTAAAGCAAAATCACTAATTTCATTCAGTTTATTCTAAGCGTAGGGGTGTGATCATAAACTGAAAGTCACTCAGTTGTGTCCGACTCTCTGTGACCCCATGGACTATAGAGTCCATGGAATTCTCCAGGCCAGAATACTGGAGTGGATAGCCTTTCCCTTCTCCAGGGGATCTTCCCAACCCAGGGATTGAACCCAGGTCTTCTGCACTGCAGGCGGATTCTTTACCAGCTGAGACACCAGGGAAGCCCAAGAAGACCGGAGTGGGTAACCTATCCCTTGTCCAGGGGATTTGCCCAACCCAGGAATTGAACCAGAGTCTCTTGCATTGCAGGCAGATTCTTTTCCAACCGAGCTATCAGGGAAGCCCTGATATCAGGGTGTGATCATAAACAGATACATAAGCACACAAATAAAATCACCACCAGACAGGCAAGGTGATACATTCTAAGTTTTCTATGAGTCGTGGATTTAAGCCAAGTAAGGAGGGTGGACAGCAGAGAGTCTGCAGAGGTTGTCAGATAAGCCCCTCTGCATGGGGGTGGTGACAACGGAGACACGCCAGGGGGCGGGGCCTGTGGCCGTCAGGACTGAGTGCAGTCCCGGAAGAGGAAGCCCATACTGAGTGAAACAAAGTGAAACTCGAAAGGATATACAATGCATAATTCCATTTATGTAACATTTGTGAATATAACTTTTATATAACATGTATATAATGTTTGTAAATATAGAGACGTACAGCAAATTAGTGGTTGCCAGAGTTACAGATGAGGAGTGTGTGCTATAAAGGGGTAGCATCATCATTTTATAGTGATGTTACCATTGGTTATCAATGTGTTAGTAGTTATGCAAGACTACAATGTGATAAAATTGCAGAGTACACACACAGACACACAGACACACACACAACATACACAAATGAGTTCATATATAACTAATGAAATCTGAGCAAGCTCTATGCACTGTCCATCAATTTCTTGGTGTTGACATTTTGCCATAGTGTATAAGATGCTAATATATAGGGAGAGCTGGGTGCACCTTTCTTTGCAACCTCCTATGAACCTATACATATATTTCAAAATGTGGGACAAATTGAGAGGGGAGCATGGAGACATATACATGACCATATAGAAAACAGAAGCGAGTGGGAATTTGCCGTGTGACACAGGGAGCCCAACCCAGTGCTCTGAGACAACACAGAGGGGTGGGTGGGACGGAGACGGGTGGGAGATGCAGAAGGGAGGGGCCGTGCGTATCCTGTGGCTGATTCATATCGAGGCACAGCGGAATCCAGCACAATATTATAAGGTAGTTATCCGCCAATGAAGAAAGTGAGAAACAGTGAATTGCTCACATTTAAGAGGATAAATCCTTTCTGGCCTCCCCAGAGACTACAAGGAAATTATTTGTTATCAACTGAAAATAAATTGTTCACTATCTGTCCATGATAGAAATAATATCTAGGGGTATTTAAGGAGTGATGTTTGAGGTTTGAAAAGGAAAATAAATAACATATTATAGAGTGGTTGTAAGAATCACATAAAGTAATTAGTATAAAGCCATAAGAGGTAAACCAGGTACAAGGTAGATGCCCAAAATGAAGGCAATCCCCGCCCCCAACCCTTGCAGTTAAAAGTTGAATAAATTCATCCATGATTTTTCCTTGGCCTGGGGTTTGCATTTAAGAGATGATACTTAGGGCCACTAGACAGTGAGTGACTAACTTTTATCAAATTCATTGGCTGAAATGGAAATCAAACCCATATCTTCCTAAGCCCAATGAATGCATCTATTAAAAAGAGACATTTACAAGTGATATTTGTAGTCTTTTTACTATAAATTGGCTGCCACGCTTTAAGAATTAGGAAATTTCACATGAAATTTCAGATTCCTCTCTCACTTAGAAACAGTGTCCTGACTTCACACACAGCAGGCATGGAGGTGGTATGATGGGGGTGAATAGCATCATAGTGCAAATGTTGCTGGTGCCCCACTCACATGATGCCATGTCGGCACTCACTAACTCCACCTTCAAATGCAACCACTCGCATCTCTTTGCTTGGAGACTTTCTCTGGACACTGTAGTCTGCTCTTCTAGTACAAAGCAGGCTAGAAATTCCAAAGAAATTAACCTCCACACTCCCCAGAGGCAGCCCTGAGAAAGTGATGGTAATCGATGTATAAATACCTTAGCTGTCTCGCCCTGGATGGAATAGTACTGAGGACAGACTATATGCAGTCTCTCAGACATCCCCAGCAGGACTGAGCTCTTGTTCCCAAGGTGGAACTTACTTGCTTGCTGATTAGTCCTTGAATGTCTACCTTTCCTTCCCTGTTCTACTTCTCCATTTCACTGCTAGTGATTCCTGGGTCTCCCCAATACATGACTTACACTGAATCCTTATCCCAGCATTTGCTTCTGGGGGAGGAGCGGCCCAAGCTAACATAATGCCAGAAGTAGCAAATATGTTTGTTCCCTTTATCCTGTAGGATTTGAAGTGAGGGCTAAAGGACTAGCCTAGTACGGGGGGCTAGACTGGCAACCAGACCCTGTGAATGTTCCACAAGTCCTCTCTGGATGTCAGTGTCTCCTCACCAAGGGTGTATGCTCCTCATTTTCCAGTGTCTCCACCAGCTCACTTAATTCTTTGGTATTATTTTCCTGGATCCTCAGATTGCTAGAATTTTACCATTAGAAGAAGACCTGAATATGATCTCCCAAAAGCTCTTCTTAAATAGAGACTCGGGCATGTTAAATAGCTTGCTTACATTCATTCCTTTCCAATAGTCTCTGAGATAGACCCAAATGCTCCCATTTTCTAATGCAGGGAGTACAGCATGAAAAGTCAGGAGACCCCAGGGTTGAGTTTTCTCTAATACTGTTGTACAGTTTGGGCAAGTTGCTACCGCGCTCTGAGCTCCATTGGCAGGCAGAAGGGCTGCCTGGGGCTTCCAGGCCTTTGCAGCTCCGCTGCTGCAATGCCTTCCCTGTCCTCTAGGCTTTGGCTGCTGAGAAAGCGGGCCTTCAGCTGGCCATCATCAGTCTGGCCCCTTCTGTTACTTCTCTCAGTTCCTTTGTTCGTGGGTCATTGCTCTTTTAAAAACAGAGGTTCTCAGACTTCAGTAACCATTAAAACCCCTGGACACTTTGGCAAAAAAATTCCTGGGCCCTTGTCTCAGATATTCTGATTCAGTCAGCCTGGGTGCATCTCTGAGAAATCTCCAGCTGATATGAGTACCATTGCCTTGTAGGAAGCACCTAGGAAGAAAGGCACAAAAGCATCCATCTTTCTGCCTCAGCAAAAACCTGGAGCAGATGCAGCAATTCTTTAGAGCCCATACAATTCACAAAACA